ATAAATGTAGTTGACTTAATGTCACACATTCCAACCAAGCACTTCTGTGAGCTGCTGGGGATCTCACCTGAGGGGTATCACCATCTTCTTCACCTCTACACTGCACATCTACAGCAATCACCAGCTCGCTCACCCTCCCTCTGCCCTGGAGACGAATTAATTTTAATTTTATTATTTTTACAGCATTACCCAGTTGACCTCCTTCTCACATTTGCCCTCCACATTACTAAATCACAAGTGCAGCACGTCCACCAGCGGCTCTTGCCATGGCTCTACACAACACTTCACCCCCACCTCTCTTTACACACCCAGCAGTTTCAATGGCAGAATGGCACAACTCTCTGCAGTCACCTCTTCATGTGGATCATTGATGGCACAGAACAGCACATACTCTCCCCCTCCAACATCACACTTAACACTCTCTTCTACTCGGCAAAGAAAGACAAACACACCATCAGCATCCTCCTCATCATTGCCTTCAATGGCACCATCCTTTACCTCTCCCCATCCTACCCTGGATTGCACCATGACTGAGAACTGGCCTGGTGGTGCAAGCATGACTGGTATCCACACCTCCACCACTCCAAATGGGGACTGGGTGACAGTGGATTTGATGGCCTAGACAAGGAGGGATGGAACATTCTCACACCCCCATGTGAGTGTGACCAGACCTACCACACCATTGTGCACTACCACATCTGTGTTGAGCAGAAGATTGAGGAAGTCAAGAACTTCTGTGTCTGCTGTGAGCAGCTGCGTGTGCCATGTGGAATGGATGACAAGCAGCTTCTTCTCTTTCACCAACAAGTGTATATGATTGTGAGTGTTCTTGTTAATGATTACCGCTGAATGAAAACACACGAACCCACACTCTCTGCACGCAAACCCACACTTTCCTCACGCTTTTGCACCACTTTTTGCGTGCGAAAACAAAATAATCCAAATCCGCACAGAGCAGTGCTTCGGACGCCCGAGCCCCACTTCTGTCACCCCAGCGCACTCCTGTTTACCATGCTGCTTTACGAATCACAGATCACTCTCAGCGTGACGCACTGTATTTGTATGGAGCCTTCAACTCGTCTTGTCCCTCCATACACACCAAAACGGAAAGGCCCAACAATACACACCAGCGTGCCTGGGTGTCACTGATAGATGAGCAGTGTTCTCTCAAATTCTCGTTTGCGCAACAGTTGCGTGCATTCGACTATTGTGCAGAGCCCTGCCGCGCCTTGGCCTTTGTTTCGCATCGTCGTGGCCATCGTCGAGGCCTTTGTGACCGTTACAGGGGATCCCCTTGTTCAGTCTGAGTCGGAGCGAGCCGAGCTGCTTCGTCTCCTCTTCTTGTGGTGGTGTCTTTCCTTCTTCTCTTTCTTTTCCTTCTTCTCTTTCTTGCGATCCTTCTCTCGCTTTCGCTTTTCCTTCTTCTCCCTCTTCTTGCGCTTCTTCTCCTTCTGTAGCGCCATCAGCTGCTTGGCCAAGTCCTTCAGACTGTTGATGTCGAGAGTACGTGCATGAGAAGGAAAGAGCCCTGTACAGACAGTGGCGAGCCTTGGCTCTTCTTTGGGGGGGGGAGGGGCGGTACCTCTGCCCTTTGGATTCGGGCTTCTTGGTGGAGTCCTCCTCGGGCTTGCTCTGCATCAAGTGGTACATGGGGTCCTGCACCCACATGGGCGTAGACAGGGAAGTCAGCCAACGTGCTCGACACACGCACACGACACACGACACGAGCGGGTACAGAACCACGCACAGTACGCGTACCATTCGAGCTTGCCGCTCGGCTTCGCTCTTGGGGTTACCTGATCGCGGAAGTGGGCACAAGGTGTCAATTTACCGCCCGCAGCACACGCAGCACATAATGGTGGTGATGATGGGTCACCTCCATCTCGAAGTGGGCACTCACGGTCGCCAGTACGGTGCCCGAATTGCTGCAGTAGAGGAGGTCATAGGGTCAGCATTGTCACAACACATGTGCCACTGCCACGGAGGTCCTCCGGCCGACATACCTTGCATCGCCAGCACTGCATGCACTTGACCTCTCTGCACGAGATGATGAGGAAGAGGTAACGTTACTCCTCACATGCGTGCGAACAACAGCTGCGCGCGCGCGGAGCTCAGCGGACGTACTTGCCGAGTGGCATCCTGCGCACAAGCGTTTAACAACCCATCGCCCGAGTCAGCAGCGGGCCAGCACACGCTGACGCTGTTGTTGCGGTGAGCGCAGTGTTGTTGACGTACCAGAGGCCCTTGCTGGGTGCCTTGGCGAGGAAGTCACGGACGTGCTCATTGCCGGGAAGGTCGGGCACGGTGTCCTCCGGCCGATCCTCCTCCTTCTCCTTCACCAGCCCTGGCGGGGCCTCGTAGAAGATCTCCAGCTTCTCCCCGTCCAGCGGAGGTCCGCCCACCCCCTTTGTGAACGCCGCGCTCCCTCGGTCTCCCATCAATCGATTTTACCTCTGACCCGAGCAACAATCGTGAGATTTTTTTTTAACACTGGAATGAGACGCTAAATCTCTAAGGAGGTCCAGCTGAAGATGTAAGCAAAAAAACAAATACAAAAGAAAAAGCAAAGCGGGCAAAATCCTAGTTCTGGGGGCTGCAAAGGAAGTAGCCGTTCTCGCAACTTGGCACTCTCTCGAAGTTGGCTGCACGGCACTTTGCATCTTTTCCTGTTGACTACCGGTACCTGCCTCTCCCTTCTTCCTCGCCCTCCCCTTTTTCGATCTTTGGATTTACTACATTCATTTCAATCATCAATGCATCTTGCACTGGCGGCGCGGTTTAAACCAACTATTTCCCTTTACGCTCCGCCCCTCACGAACTTGATGGCTGAGCCCTCACTCTTGGCAGCGTACGACCCGGTGAAACTGCTGCCATCATGGAACGGCGCGGTGTGCCTGCGCCCAGGACAAAAGACCAGGGATTCTCCTCCGCCTCGTCGGCCTTCGCCCCCTCGGCGCCTGATCACGTCCGTGGCCCTTCGTCTCCGGGCGCCACCGGTGGTAAACGAGGCTGCCTCTTCTTGTGTCCGTCTCTGTCGTGGTTCACGACTAACGACAGGCCTGTTTCCGTTGCTCCGTTCGTGCGCAAATTTGTTGCATGCCGATTTCGGCGTGGGGGCAGGTACGTCGGGTCTGGGCGCGGCGGCGACGGCGATTGCGGACATCGAGAGGCAGCTGGAGAGGCTCGTCACCCTACGCAAGACGGAGAGGTTTGCTGCGGCTCACGCCTTTGGCGAGAACGGCAACAACGACCAAAGAAAGAAGGCGAAGACTGGCGCCGCGACCCGCGAAGAGGAGAACGACAGCAGCAGCACGGAGAGTGCGGCCAGCGACGCGCAGAGCTCGAAACGGCGCAACTTGGATGAGGACTTGCTGATCGGCATGCTCGGCATTCCTTTCGTCAGCAGCGAAGTCGCGCGCGGTCGCAGCCCGCGCCCACACTCATCACCGACCATGTCGACTTCCCCACCGATGACACCGACGCCAACTGCACACCACACACCGCTCACGCCAGACATGGCTGCCAACGCCGCCGATCTCGTGCTCAGGGCGGATCTTGGCCAGGGCGACACGCACCGTGATGACGACACGCCGCCGGCCATCGCGACAGAGTCCGTTTGGCAGGCGGCCGAGGCCGCGCACAAGCCGCCCTCGCTACCGATGCGAAGCCTCACCAGTGCGCCCGCACCACCACTCCCTGAGCAACAGCCGCAGCCGGTCGTGGTGGCGGCGGCTCTACGGCGCGAGATCATGGGCGAGGTCAAGGCCGAGCTGCTGATGGAGGTGGCGCGACGCGACAAGGAGAATCAAGGCAAGCTGTACGAGCTCGAGCTCGAGAATCGAGAGCTCAAGCAGGAGCTCCACGGGCTGCTGCGCGAGATGCGGGAGGACCGGCGCCGCAAGGAGCGCGAGCGAGAGGAGCGCAAGAAGCGGAGACGGCGCAGCGCAGGCCAACGGACAAAGCGCGGCCGTGGCGGCAGCGACGACAGTGAAGGAAGCGACGTAGAGAGCAGCGACGATGACACGAGCAGCAGCAGCGAACAGGAGGTGGCCGAACCGAAGCGCAGAGGCACGAAGAGAAGTCGAGGCAGCAGCGACAGGGAACCGGCGGACCGGCATAGCGACAAGAGCGACACCAACAGCTCTAAACGCAAGAGAGGGAAGACGTCGGTGGCACCGGCAGGAAAGGCCGAGAGACACGCTAACGAAGTAGCGGCGGGTGAAGCTGCAGCACAGGCAGGACCAACGACTGCCGAGCCGGCCGTACCACTTGTGACGACGCCATCGCGAGCGGACACCCGAGGCTCGCCGCAGCCGCGGACGGATCGGTGGTCGCACTCGAGCGGGAGCGGTGGTGAGGAAACGACCGTTGCTGCGGCCACCGGACCTGATGAGGATAGAAATGCCGACGATGGCGGCAGACCTTCTCGATCCACCGTGTGGCGTAGGAAGAAGGGCCACCGGGCCGCCGAAGAAATCGAGCACGACAACCAAGAGCGGTACCAGCTAGCACCCGCACCATCTGATGGCGCTCTGTGCGGGTGCTAACCAAAGCCCTTCTTTTTGCCGCAGGTGGCAGATGCGGGTCGACCAGCTGCGTGCGTTTGCCAAGGAGCACGGTCACTGCCGCGTGCCCAAGAGCCACCCCAACAGGCCACTCTACACGTGGACGCAAAACGTCCGCCAACGCTGGAGGTGCCTCCTACGCCCCGGCCCACCACCTTGACTTACGGCCCGAGCCTTACACCTGCGTTTTTTCACAGGAGGGGCGCCGTGCCTGAGAGTAAGATCCGAGACTTGGTCGCCTTGGGCATGCAGCATCCGGCGGAGGAGTTCGGTGGCGCTGCAGCGCGAAGGGGCTCGCAGCAGCAGCGACCGGCGGTCGAGCCCGCCACGGAGGAGGATGTCGACACCAGCAGGGACCAGGATACTAAAGCCGTAGACAGGAAAAGCTCGACCAGCACCGGCCGGCCCAGAGCGGTGAAGAGATCGCGGCGGGAGAAGCGGCCGTCTTCGGCCACAACGAAGGCCGAAGGCGGCGAAGACGGGAAACGGCCGCAGCAGAGTCGGGCGAGCGATGACGACTACGCGGCACTGTCGGAAAAGGATCACGAGGATGATGAAGAGGAGGAAGAAGAAGAGGAAGAAGAAGAGCAGGAGGAGAAGTACACCCGACGCCTGAGACAACGGCAGTCCAGGCGAAGCGAAGAAGCGAAGCCGCACAACAATGCCGTGGATGGCGTGGTCACGCGCAGGAGAGCCAAGTCACTGACGTCGCAAGCGGAGGAGGTGAAGGAGCCCGCCAGAGGTGAAAAGAGGAAGGCCACCACCACAGGACCGACCGACGCTGACAAGGAG